ATTATTACTACTATTATTATTACTACTATTATTATTACTACTATTATTATTACTACTATTATTATTACCACTATTATTATTACTTTTATTATTTTTTACCATGTCCTATTTTTATTATTACTATTTTCATTATAACATTCCACAATGTTCAGAAGAATTGATAAAGAATGCTACCTGTTGAAGTGATAAAAGCTTGAAGAAGAAGCAGCCATCCAAGGTGCATCACTGTTTGATAACTGTCTTAAAGGCAGCGGTAGGAGCCCGGAAGAACAGTGATAACGATTTAAGCACATCTTACCAACCACTTGATAATATTTCAAAATCATTGCTAGTCACTCAGTACAACTAGTAATAAATTTTTGAAATATTCAAATAATCAACAATCAATAATAATAATAACACTATGAGATATTATCATTGAATTTTTTTCTTGAAGAACACTGAATGTATCGGGTGGGATCACGAGATCGAGGATTAATATTAGGAGTTGTGAAGTCCACGTACTTGATCACGTAAATGGAAGGTTAATGTTCAGAAGGATATCAGAATTCCGGAAAATGTTTCTGAACAAAGAATGATTCATTTGTATATCAAAAAATATGCAATTAAATGTGCAACTAAAAAGTCAATTTTAACATCACTTTTATTTAGCCCTTCATAAAATCCTGCAATTCGCAGATTATAAGCGATTATCTGATGCTTTAAGAAATATACAAATGTGTAACACTAGTAAAATAGACGTGTACAACTCCTTCTAAAACTTTATTCTTATAGAAATTTTTTTCTTTTTATTCAATACATCTAAAAATAAGCATGCTTTATCAATCGAATTCACTTCCATATTCCATGTGCTTTCTTTTAATGCCTAATTATCACATTGAAACTTTTCCAAAGTTTCAATAATTTTGGAATTCTTTTATGTCAAATTCGTATGGGTTACACACATTACACGCATAAGTCCACGCATAAATAAGATTTTACGTGCACGCGCATACGGACGTGACATATAGCATTGAACTAGGCTTTTTTCACAGCACAGTCTCTCTGTGATATAGCGCAATGATGCATGAAGCAAACCGGAGGTTTATGCAGATGTTGTCGAGATAGGAAGGAGATGGGTAGTGAGAGGCGGGGGCGGAAGGGATGGGAAGGCGGAGTGGGGTACTTTTTTTGTGGAATATGCTGAAGTAGAAGAACGGTAAAAGATTAATGGTACTGCTCCTTAAAAGTGACAAGTGAAAAGCATGTGTGATTTTTGCAATTAATTGTTTGCATTGTTAGATAAACGGGGTTTGCTATAAATGCACAAATGCTAATTTATTATTCAGAATTTACAGTTGAAAATGGGTGTTCCAAAATTTTATCGATGGATTAGCGAGCGTTATCCATGCTTAAGTGAAGTGGTTCGGGATGAACAGGTTAATTTTTCATATTGTAGCTTGAATCTTCTAATATTTTCTTACTCGTCTTCTTTTTCAACTTAATTTATACGGCATATGCTTTTCGTGTGATGATGAAATTTCAACATCTGAATAATTTCCGTAAGCTTACAACGAATTTTGAAAATAATTTTGAATATTTTTGATTGTTTAGGTAGGTAAGCCAGAATTATGATATCTCGATAAGCAATTGAATGATTTAAGGCAATATGTAATAAAAGTGAGTCGTAATAATTAAATCATTGTTATAATACGGTAGGAAACTTCGATAATTTTAGATTCCAGAATTTGATAATTTATATTTGGATATGAATGGAATAATACATGGTTGTTCTCATCCGGACGATGAGAATCTTGTTTCGTTTCGAATTTCCGAGGAGCAAATATTTCGTGATATTTTCAATTATATTGATGTAGGTGAAATTATCATAACCTATTAATTACATTTTGCATAAAACGAGCTATTGATGTTTTAGTTATAAACTTATTTCAGTTCCTTTTTGGCATAATTAAGCCGAAAAAAGTATTTTTTATGGCTGTCGATGGCGTGGCACCACGTGCTAAGATGAATCAACAAAGAGCACGACGTTTTATGTTTGTTCTTTTTTTTTCATATTTCAAAATTTTTGCTATGTTACTGATTAATTATTATAATATCTTGCTAGTTTATCTCTCTCACAACGCGATTGTTTGAACAGCCGAAATAACTGTTAAATTTCTCCACTTCAGGACTAGATTATTCTAGGACTTTATGAATTCAGAACACTATTCTGAGAAAGGGAAGAATATAGAAATTATATTCTGGCACTAAAATGAATGCACCATTTTTATTTTTGAAGGTCCGCGAAAAATGCACAAGAAGCTTTAAATAAGGCAATGAAAAATGGAGTACAAATTCCGGATGAGAAACCATTCGATTCAAACTGCATTACGCCAGGTTCCCACAATAGCATACTGTTGATATTATCATTGGAAGATTTCAAGTTTCTGATAGTTTTAATATTATAGCATGCACTAGAAAAAGAGCTATTTTTTGTTCTTAGTCTCTGAAATATTTCACAGTTAATTAATAGCTATAATTGTGACAGTACAATAGAAAAAACGCGGCCTGTAATCTTTTAAATTTAAAATATAAAAAGGGTTACCTCTATAAGTGCAGGATATAATAGACATTGTGAAAAGGGTTAGCCTTTATAAATGCAGGATATAATAGACGTTGGTTCGTCTCCATGAACAATTACAATATTTGTATATATATATATATATATAATTAGAATAACATTCAGTCATTTAATATCATCACTTGTTGTTTGATTTAT